GTAATTTTTTTTTATTTTTTTATTTCTTAACCAAATTAACTTTTAATTTTTTTAAAAAACATTTAAAAATAAATTTATAGAAATCAAACCAAACATATGCTAAGAATTTTTTGACAAGACATTTCTTTTGTTTTTAACTTATTTAATTATTTGTTAATTTTATGATATTTTCACCATCTGACACTATAATATATAAAAGTTTTAGACGCCAATTTTTTTGATCTCTAAAAGTGAAAATTTTATTGCAAAAGACATTTAGGGACTAATTTCTATCGTCGTGAGGATAGTCACTAAAAGGTCACCTTGAAAAGTCAAAAAGAAGGTTTTTAGCAATAAAATTTCAAAAATGTCAATAATAAATAAACTTTTAGGGACAAAATAATTTGGTCTCAAAATGATTTATTTTTTGAGACAAAAAATTTGATACCAAAAAGATAATAATTAATCACTAATGTTCAATTTTTGTTGCTAAAAATATAATAATGACACTTTTCCTAACAAAAATATTTGGTCCCCTAAAAATAATTGTCCCTAAATTTTGGTCTCTAAAACCTTAATTTTTTGTAGTGTGATAAGTGTTTTTTCATTTTAATTTTGCACTTCATAACTTATTTAAAAATGACAATTTAGCTAAATCTCAGGGAGGAATCTGTAATTTAGCTAAATCTCATAGAAGTGTAGGTAATTTGTCCTTATTTGTCAAAAGGGCATTTTAGTCAATTTATGATATCTGTTAATGGTTTTAATTGCGATAGGGTGAGATGTAATTATTGAAACTTTAAGAAAAAATTTGTAATTTCGTTAAATCTCAAGGGAGGTGTAAGTAATTGGCCCAAATTTTTATGACTAACGTCAGCTCATTAGTATTCATTATCATTAAAATCTAGGGACAATTACGATCAAATCCTATTTAATGAACTTAAAAACCTATAGGTATAGGGTGAGAATTTACAACATGACACGGTAATACGACTCAAATCATACATGAAATTAGCAGGTTAGGGTTGGCCATTTTTTCACACGAACACGTATATTAAACAACACAATAACACGAATATTAAAAAAGTTGGGTTAATGTCAAATTTGTATAACACAAAATTGACACGTATAACCCATATAATGACTAATTACACATTATTATTTGCACTAAAGAGTTTCATGACATTTTTTAATCTATTACATAATTACATTCAATTTATTAAAAAGTACGTAAAATACAAATTTAAGTTTAATATAGGTTTTGTTTTTACTTTTAATTGAAATTAATGCATTTTTTTTGGTCTATTATTTGAGTGAATCTAGTAAGAAATATAATAATGAAATATAATTTTTATAAATTAAGAAAATAAAATTAAGTTGAAATAAAATATTTTTATAAATAATTTCATTTGATAGAGATTAGTTTCATTAAATTTAACTAGTGAAGAAATTTTAAATTATTTTCATACATTTGATATTTTTAGTTAATAGTGAAATTTTTTGACACAACACGTTAACACAACACAAATAATATACGAACTGAGAATGATACGACACAATAACACAAAATAATAAACTGGTCGAGTTAGTCTTGAAATAATTATGACACAAACTCAAGATGACACGACATGAATACAACCTAACACGATACGACGCAAATGATATAGGTCCTACACATGGGTAATTCTATTTCCATACATACTTTCGTCTCTGTACATATCATATCTCAATTTACACACTTATGAATTTGGTTATATGTTATTATTCTCATTCCATACACACTGTACATGTTCCAATGATAATCCTAACTCACATCTTGTATATACACACACCTTCAAACCCTTCATAGGATGACACACCCACCCACAGTGATTCTAGCAAAACACAACTCCATTGAAGACCTACATTGAGCTCCATTGCATTGTTGAAGGAAAGTAATGTGAATTTCAGTTCAAAACATTAGAGCCGGATATGTCACATATTTTCGGCATTTGAAAATCGAATTTTTATAAAAATTTCAGTTGTTTACAACCGAATTAATTTATGTTTTTGAAAGTTAATTTCCAAATTAAGAAAATATTTTCGGCAGTGATTTCTGAAAATAATAAATATTTTCAGTACTGGTTTGCCGAATGAGAATCTCGAACAAGAAAAAACAAAATCAACTTTTGTACAATGAAACTCACATTTTCATTATTGCATTGGTTGTAACTAAGTATATTCTTATTTGAATATGAACTTCCATTGATTTGCAAATCTTCCATCACAAAAATCTAGAATGATGGTGGATTCTAATGGAACAAAAAAAGAAGGTATAAACAATAGAGTATGAACTTAGAAAGTAAAGCAATATCAGGGTATATTATCTAAGCAATATGGTAGACAATATAGTATAACAATGGAGTGTAGCAAGTAGTGGAGGATAATAGAGGAAGTGAAAAACAACGAGGAACTAGGTTTTTGTTTTTTGTTTTTCCATAAGATATACGCTACGACTTATTGTTTTCAAAAGATGTGTACAAAGAAAATTTGGATTTAATATTTATTTTGTTTATCGATGTCCATTATGGACATTTTGCTTCATGGTAAAATTATCATTAAAATTTTCTTTCATTAAGTGTGTACACAGAGACGAAAAGATGTGTGGAAATAGAATTTTCCTTACACATCTTTTGAATGCACCAATAAACCTTAATATTATTCTCTCTCTCTCTCTCTCTCTCTCTCCAGCATTTCTCCTAGAGCATCACTGTTACCACCAATGCTACCATCGTTGACCACCGCCACCATCGTCATCCACTGGCCACCGTTACCATCTTTTACTTGTTACCGTCATCGTCTATTCGCTATTGCTATCAATCTATACTCCATTGTTACTGATCTACACTTACATCTCTGGTCTCTACTCTGCCATCACTGATCCACCGATCTAGTTGTTTTAATAGTGAAATTGACTCCAAATGACTCCAAGCAACAATGTTTTCTAGATCTTGCTCCTCTTTCTCCTCTGTCTCTCTTTTTCTCTGTCTCTTTATTTTTCAAACCGAATCTACTGCAAAGTTATTTTTCAGTGATAAATTTATCTGTAGTTGGTTATATGTATATATAGGATGAGAGTGTCTTACTAGTGAGTGAAAGTGTGAATGTCGGTGAGTGAATTAACATCTATAATTTTTTACAAATCACTTAGTGATAAATTTATCACTGGATGTATATTTAATTATTTTGTTGATCTTGTATTCATCTATGATGGTAAAGACTAATGTGAATTGTTTCTGGTAAATACTTTATTTTTGTTCCTTCTCATCCCCTACTCTCTCTCTCTCTCTCTCTTTTGTTACTATTAGAACAAAGGAGGTGGTGATGGTAGTGATGTGGTGGAGAATGAACATTGTTTTTTTCTTTTTGGAAAATGGTTGGAAAAATATCACCGAAAGTTGCCAGAGATTAGAGGTAATTGTCGGTACGTAGTTAGAGATGGTGGCCGGAGGTGGTCACCGGAGATCGGAGGTCATTGCTGGCAAGTTGGCGACAGGGTCATGATAATAGTGTTATGACTAAAGTGTTGAATGAGATACAGTGAGGGTATTTTGGAGATATTGACAGTTTAAAAAACGAAACAAGATTTATAGATAAATAAGTCTGGTCAATAGGACCGTTCCATAAGTATCCCAATCTATCGAAATTTTGGGAACAAAAAATTTACCTCTACAAAAAATTTAATCATTTCTAAATTGATCTACTCAAAATGTTGCGACTAAAATAACACAAAACGCATCCTTTATAAACCAAATATGTAATTATACATTTTTTTTTTTTTTGAGATTTTTTTTTGTCCCGAAAATACTAATTACTCTAACAATGACTATTGGGATATTAGCTATGACGACAACCTTAACACACATTTAATCATTTGGGGATGAAAGTAAAATTTTAAGAATCAAAATAACTCAAAATACATAACTTGGATATAGTAAATAAACAAAATTTTGTACTAAACCCCCATTTTTTTTCCTGGCCCATATTGATGGGTGTTCTTATCATCAAATATTAGTCAAACAAAATATCATTTTGAAATTGTTGACTAGCATCATGAAAAGTCTATTTTTCATCTATGATAGGCTAAGTTTTGGCATATATATAAAGAGATAAGGCATGGATTAAGCCATCACACAATCTCAGGCTCAACATTGATTCGCTGTTACTATTAGAACAAAGGAGGTGGTGATGGTAGTGATGTGGTGGAGAATGAACATTGTTTTCTTCTTTTTGGAAAATGGTTGGAAAAATATCACCGAAAGTTGCCAGAGATTAGAGGTAATTGTCGGTACGTAGTTAGAGATGGTGGTTGGAGGTGGTCACCGGAGATCGGAGGTCATTGCTGGCAAGTTGGCAACAGGGTCATGATTATAGTGTTATGACTAAAGTGTTGAATGAGATACAGTGAGGGTATTTTGGAGATATTGATAGTTTAAAAAATGAAGCAAGATCTATAGATAAATAAGTCCGGTCAATAGGACCGTTCCATAAGTATCCCAATCTATCGAAATTTTGGAAACAAAAAATTTACATCTACAAAAAATTTAATCATTTCTAATTTGATCTACTCAAAATGTTGCGACTAAAATAACACAAAACGCATCGTTTATAAACCAAAAATGTAGTTAAACATATATATATTTTTTTGAGATGTTTTTTTGTTCCAAAAATACTAATTACTCTAACAATGAATATTGGGATATTAGCTATGACAACCACCTTAACACACATTTAATCATTTGGGGATGAAAGTAAAATTTTAAGAATCAAAATAACTCAAAATACATAACTTGGATATAGTAAATAAACAAAATTTTGTACTAAACCCCCATTTTTTTTCCTGGCCCATATTGATGGGTGTTCTTATCATCAAATATTAGTCAAACAAAATATCATTTTGAAATTGTTGACTAGCATCATGAAAAGTCTATTTTTCATCTATGATAGGCTAAGTTTTGGTATATATATAAAGAGACAAGGCATGGATTAGGCCATCACACAATCTCAGGCTCAACATTGATTCGCTTAGCCCTTGTTTGGCAATACAAATATGTCATCTTCTTTAGGTGAGACTCAGCAGGTTGACAAACATAGATCTTACTTGAATGGAGAGGGAGAGAAGAACACAAAGTGGAGGTTTGGTGTTCCCCCTAACTATGATGTTGTCAACAAGCTCTTTGAAGAAGGTAGAACAAAGGTAACAATTTTGTAAAATGAACGAAATTTTCCTCTTTAAAACCTTTAGTGTGGCAACATTTAAAGCCGTGGTCCCACTATTTTAATCAGATGATGGGTTTTTGGACTATCCTTTCTATATTTGTATATGTATATAATTGTATAGTACTATCATATCAATATCAATATTGTCTGTGACTGACCTATTTGTGTGTTTATGATAGATTTGGCCTCAGGGTTCACTTGAGGAAAAAGTGCAGAACCTTCTCAAGTCATGGGAAATGGAGATGTTTCATAAGGCATCTTTTGATGACTTCAAAACCATGGACCCAAGGAAGTACACTTTCAGTCTCAATGGTAATAAAATGTCCTCTCTTTTTTTTTTTTTAATTAATTTATTTTTTTTGCGTCTTCTTCTTCTTTTCTTTTAATGTAAATTTTTGTAGCCTATCCTTCTTGTTTAATCTAATTTTCCTTATGAGCACTTTCATGATCAAAATTTTCAGGGCGAAAACCGATAACCCTGGAAGAAATAGTGCAAAAGCTTGGGGGAGGGTACAACCCACTACTGCAGACCTCCTTGCCAGAGGAGTTCCAGTTGTACAACATAGCCGAGGAAACTGCAGAGTCATCGCACCAGGTCTTCACGACAACTTTCCCACGAGGATTTGCCATAGAGGTTCTTCAAGTTTATTCGGGGCCACCGGTGATTGTATTCAAGTTTAGGCACTGGGGATTCATGGAGGGTCCCTTTAAAGGGTATGCCCCAACTGGTGAAAAGATAGAATTGTATGGCATGGCCATTTTTGAGGTATATATTGAATCCTTTCATCCCCAATTAAAGCTTTTTCTGTTCTTGTCTTCTATTTTTAAGTTCTTTCGAATTTCTAAACAGAATTGAGAGTTTTGAGGCATGAATTTGATAATTCTGGTTGAAACAGTTAAATGAAGAATCGAAGGTCGTGAAGGTAGAGTTCTTCTATGATCGCGGAGAATTGCTCGGAGGTCTTGTGAAGGGTGGCCACGGTGGTGCCTCCGATAGTTCCACAAATGAGATGCTTTCAAGCTGCCCTTTCATGAAGAGCACTGGGTAATAATGTGTGTGATGGTTCTTGTGAAGTTTCTTACAAGACAAAGTCAAAAATTTCACTTTTCGATGGATGTATCTTTCATGTCTTTTTTTTAAGCTTGTTTTCCCTCTAATAATGGGTATAAATAAATGAGTAGTTCTAAGAGTTTGGGTCACTGGTTTTACCACACTGTAGTAGTAATCACCAGAAAAATAGATGAAATGAAGAACGTTGTATTTTACTTTTGTTGGATGGGTTGGACTGATCCACGCGTCATAAATTCAATTAGCAAATAATATAATTGCTTGAATTGTGAGAATAAGTTATACTATAGAATTTTTGATGAGATGAAAATTTGAATATATGATAAAATTATGAAGATAAATTATAGGATGCTCGGTTGAAAAGTCTAAATTTGAATTTGTTTGGTCAAACAGTTCACGCGTTAAAATATTTTGTTTAAAAAGACAATTTAAGATAAAATAACCAAAATACTCTATATATCATATACACATAATACATCAGAAACCTCAAAATCTCTCTCTCTCTCTCTCTATATATATATATATATCCAAGAATTTTTAATCCTAAATTTAATCCTAAATTTTTACTCCACCCCATGTATATATCAAAACATGATATGAATTTCGCAAAAGTTAGCTCACGCCTTTTTCTTTGTTTTTTTAAATTATTTAATAAAGAAGTCTGACCCCATCAACGGTAAAGTCATGCCTCTTTTTCGTTTTCTTTTTTACATTTATTTATTTATTTATTTTTAATAAAGCATCAACAGTAATTGTTTTTTTAAAAAAGTTAGCATGTCAGGTTTTCGAGGAATTATATTCACCATGTTTGTTTTGAGGGAATTAAATTTGTTTTTTTTAAAAATTAAATTTTTTATTTTTTATATTGTTTTATTTTTAGTGAATGTTTTTAGTATTTACGTAAATATTTTATTTTTTAAATATATCTAATCTAAATATATTTAAAAAGTATAATAATTATGAAAAAAAAGAACTTAAAAAAATTCATTAAATACAAAATATATATATATATATATATATTCAATACATTTTCGTATTTTTTTGTATTCAATGAATTTTTTTAAAATTTTTGTACAAATTTTTTACTTTTACAGTTTATTAAAATTAAGATTGTGGATCTAAAAATAAAATAAAAAAATTGATTAAAATATTTTTAAAAATCATTAAAATACAAAAATACGAATTGAAAATCCAGAAAATTATTTTTGAAAACTCAAAACCAAACAAGGTGTTCTTTTCTAGGAATTCTAATTAGGTTGTTTGTCCTTCCAATTTTATTGGTTATTTTTTGTAATATATAAGAGAAAAAATAAGAAACACTACAAGAAATGTCACTTTTGGCTACCAAAATATTGGTCGCCAAAAGTCCAATATTTAGTCGGCGAAACCATTTAGCGACTAAAATATTTTGTCGCCAAACTCGTCACCTATACCCTGTCGACGATAGTATTGGCGACTAAACTATTTTTGGTCGCTGAAAGTAAACGTTTTGGCTACTAAATTTTCGTTAGTCGGCAAAGGTTATGTTTTGGCGACTAAAATATTAGTAGCCAAAAGTAAGCATTTGGCTACGAAACTTAGAGTAGTCGGGAAAGGTGATATTTTGGCGACTAAATATTTAGTCGCCAAAAGTGTTCAAATAAAATTAATTAAATTTTCAGCGACTAAAATTTTTTGTCGTAGATAAGTTTTAGTCACAACATTACTACATTTAGGGACTAAAGAATTTAGTCGCCAAAAAAATTATTTTTCATTTTATTAAACTTTTGGCTACTAACCATTTGGTAGCCGAAAGTCTTCATTATATTTTTAGCTACTAAATTTTGTCACCAAAAATCATTGGGTTCTTTATGGCTACCAAATATTTAGTCACTAAAAATATTGATTTCCTTTTTGGCTACCAATTGGTTAGTCACTAACAAATTCACTTCTTTTTTTTTTCGCTACTAAACATTTAATGGAAAAAACTTTATTTTGTGTTTTTTTTATTATAATTAATTTCTTCACAACCTGTATTTATTTTGTGTATCCTGCACCCTGTATTTAAACAAAATAATACATATATCTATTTCTATTTCGTTTCAACAATACAAAAATTTGATCTTTTAACATCAAATTCTATACAAATCTGAATTATCCAACCCAAAATAATAATTCCATACAAACACAAAATCATACAAAAAAGATGTCCTCTGTACAAAAAATTCTACATCAAATGTCATTTACAGAATATTTTGAAGATGTAAACATGATGGGAAAATTAAATTTATTTACTAAAACACTTGCTTAATTTAACAATGAAGCCATTAATCTAAACGCTTCTCATCCTTCAAGCTTGCTTCATATAGTTTGGTACCTTTCTTTCTGAAGACACCAACTGCAAAATAATGCAAATGTAGTAGTGCAATCAGAAAATCGAGAAATGGAATGGAAAGATGAAAGAACATTTTCCACTACACCCATTGCCCACGTCTTATAAAACATTGTAATAATCGCACCTTCAAATATAGTAGGAGGCTAAAAATCATTAAATGATCTATAAGTAAATCCACAACTATCAATCATTAATCTAAGATGCAACAAAATTTGGTATTTTCTCAAGCATATCTTAGTAGTCAAAATCATTAACGCATAACTAAAAAATATATATCATTTGACCATATTACTACAAATATTCGATTAACGTAATTTTTTTTAATAGTAGTCAATAAGCCTTGCATAATAAATAATTTAAATTATTAAAATTGTCTGAAATGGACTCAGTCAAGCTCTCACAACAGCTTGTTGAATTAGATGTGCTCAAGTTTAGACCAAGTAGTAGAAATGGGTCTTCAATATGCAAAATGGCCAAAATTGACTTCTTTTCATATGATTAAACTAACCAACACATTCAAATAAGTACATTTAACGATAATATTCCATTCAAATAAGTACTAACCAACACATGCATAAAATAATTAAAAAAAAAAAAATTCTCCGCCCCAAGAATGATTAGAAAAACTAATGTATGTCAAAGATAATATTCCACGTAACATTATTTAGGGTAAATTACAATGACCTCTGTTGATATTTCTAACAAATACATTTAACTCCCTGATATTCTAGAAAATACACACTCGCCCCCAAAAACTTGTAGTCACATAACTAACAGCCCCTCTCATTAAGTGGTTGTTAGGGTTTGTGATAGTAACTTTCTACTGCTTTTTTTTCTTCTTCCTACAAAAATGAGTAAGAAAAGGAAGAACTAAGAACTAATGAAAAGAATGGGTGCCAAATATAATGATTGCAGTAAAGGCATACCACAATTAGATCATAGGGCAGTAGCAAATGGTAGAAACACTTCCCCAATCTATTAACTGCCCTAAAATAGGTTGAACAAAACCTTTCTTAACTAACTTTTCAATGCAATGTTTCACATGTATTCAGGACCAAATAGGCTATACTACATGGTCAAAGGATGTCCACAATCACTTAATCCCTCAAGTAGTATTAAATTATTAGACTATATGTGGGTGACTCAATAATGCCAGATGCAACAAGTGATAGATAGCCATGCCAATGCTAGCTTAATTGCCTCAAATCATCTAAACATAAGAACTAACATGCTTCCTAAGAGATCATTCATAATGAACTCCTGATTTCACTTGGAAGCCATAAGACAAACAATAAAATTTCCCCTAAATTGTCAACCCCTATAAAATTAAACTAATACTGAATGGAAATGAATCATCAAATGTATCCACAACAACAACATAAACACAGCTTAAAAAATATAAGGCAAAGAACAAAAGAATTGTTCACAAGACACACAGAAAAGCAGAGTGAAGCCTCTTCACTGGAAAATAACCATGCCTCAACACCTCAGAAATTGAATTGCTCTCACATGCATTTGAACAATAATTTCAACTCCTCCAGACATGAAAGAGGGTTCCTTTAACTATATGTTGAAGATTGCAAAAAAAATAAATAAATAATCAAAAAACCATATACCCACAAAACAGAACCAACAGAGGATGACCTAGGTAACAATTTAACCACACAAAACTAAAAGTGAGGCATTGAATTCACCTCAAATCCAAGAGAACATCTGATGAGTCTCTGAACATATTCAATTACATCTTTCCTCTTCTCACCTAACAGTCAGTCCAATGACCCTCATAGTGTAATAAGCCATTCAATTCAAGTGCACAAAAGAGCTGACCTTTGGGTCCTTCCAACTAGCAATAATTCAAATTCTAAGAAAAAAATAGAAACATAGCAGAAGATGAGACAAATTAAGATATAAAAAAAAAGTTGAGCTGTCCAATTAAATTTGATCATGTGGTAGCTACCATAGAAGAATCTAAAGCTTTATGAACCCTTAGTTTACATGAACTAATATTCTTCTTTCAACTTCATCAAATTTTTTGAAGTGTTGTGTTAATTTACAGTTCACTTTTTTCTTAGATATATATTCCAACCAAACCGCTAATAGTTATGGAGACTATATATGCTATGCTGTGATACTTGCTTATAAAATTTGAACGGAAATATGCACAAAATAGGGCGGAAAGAGGGAAGCTCTTAAAGTAACCTCATTGTGCCAACACCTTTTTTTTTTTTTCAGTCAGGCATTTTTTCAAACACTTAAGAGGACCCTTAATATCAGATAACATTTACAGACTATCATTTATATGTACACATATACATAGCATGTATATATAGATGAGAAATCAATATATAGGAGAGGATCTGACAGACCTGATATCATTGGGCGGTGGTGATCGCAAATTATAAAAAAATTTCTATGTAGTGTTTCTTTCTTCTCTCTCTTTCTCAAGTGTCCCTTTGGAGCTCTTTGTCGTCGATGAAGCCACGCCCGTTCTGATCCGCTACCTGGAAGCACGTCACCACGCTTGGATCCATGCTTGCTGGGAAGGACGATGGCAACAGAGATGCGATTGGGCTTCCGTAAGCCTACGCCTGCAGTAGGTATCCTCCTTTGGAGGCGGCAACAAAGTGTGGAAGTGGAGTAGCGGCGTAGGGTTTGTACTTGAAGGCATAGATTCAAACGATGAGAGGGTTGGGAGTTTTGACGAAGGAGTGGCGGCTGGCGATGGGATTTAGGTTTTGATCTTACCTCACGATCTGGATCTAAGGCGAAAGAGGGAAGAGGAAGAGAGAGAGAGAGAGAGAGACTAGGGCTGGGCATGGGCTGGGCG